TAGACTAACAGTGACACTCACGTAGAGAGAGGACACAGCGAGACAGGAGACAGCTGTAGACTAACAGTGACACTCACGTAGAGAGAGACCAGCGAGACAGGAGACAGCTGTAGACTAACAGTGACACTCACGTAGAGAGAGACACAGCGAGACAGGAGGCAGCTGTAGACTAACAGTGACACTCACGTAGAGAGAGACACAGCGAGACAGGAGGCAGCTGTAGACTAACAGTGACACTCACGTAGAGAGAGACACAGCGAGACAGGAGGCAGCTGTAGACTAACAGTGACACTACGTAGAGACTCAGCGAGACAGGCAGCTGTAGACTAACAGTGACACTCACGTAGAGAGAGACACAGCGAGACAGGAGACAGCTGTAGACTAACAGTGACACTCACGTAGAGAGAGACACAGCGAGACAGGAGACAGCTGTAGACTAACAGTGACACTACGTAGAGAGAGACACAGCGAGACAGGAGACAGCTGTAGACTAACAGTGACACTCACGTAGAGAGAGACACAGCGAGACAGGAGGCAGCTGTAGACTAACAGTGACACTCACGTAGAGAGAGACACAGCGAGACAGGAGGCAGCTGTAGACTAACAGTGACACTCACGTAGAGAGAGACACAGCGAGACAGGAGGCAGCTGTAGACTAACAGTGACACTCACGTAGAGAGAGACACAGCGAGACAGGAGGCAGCTGTAGACTAACAGTGACACTCACGTAGAGAGAGACACAGCGAGACAGGAGGCAGCTGTAGACTAACAGTGACACTCACGTAGAGAGAGACACAGCGAGACTGGAGACAGCTGTAGACTAACAGTGACACTCACGTAGAGAGAGACACAGCGAGACAGGAGGCAGCTGTAGACTAACAGTGACACTCACGTAGAGAGAGACACAGCGAGACAGGAGGCAGCTGTAGACTAACAGTGACACTACGTAGAGAGAGACAGCGAGACAGGAGACAGCTGTAGACTAACAGTGACACTACGTAGAGAGAGACACAGCGAGACAGGAGGCAGCTGTAGACTAACAGTGACACTCACGTAGAGAGAGACACAGCGAGACAGGAGACAGCTGTAGACTAACAGTGACACTCACGTAGAGAGAGACACAGCGAGACAGGAGACAGCTGTAGACTAACAGTGACACTCACGTAGAGAGAGACACAGCGAGACAGGAGGCAGCTGTAGACTAACAGTGACACTCACGTAGAGAGAGACACAGCGAGACAGGAGACAGCTGTAGACTAACAGTGACACTCACGTAGAGAGAGACACAGCGAGACAGGAGGCAGCTGTAGACTAACAGTGACACTCACGTAGAGAGAGACACAGCGAGACAGGAGGCAGCTGTAGACTAACAGTGACACTCACGTAGAGAGAGACACAGCGAGACAGGAGGCAGCTGTAGACTAACAGTGACACTACGTAGAGACAGCGAGACAGGAGACAGCTGTAGACTAACAGTGACACTACGTAGAGAGAGACAGCGAGACAGGAGACAGCTGTAGACTAACAGTGACACTCACGTAGAGAGAGACACAGCGAGACAGGAGACAGCTGTAGACTAACAGTGACACTACGTAGAGAGAGAGACAGCGAGACAGGAGACAGCTGTAGACTAACAGTGACACTCACGTAGAGAGAGACACAGCGAGACAGGAGGCAGCTGTAGACTAACAGTGACACTCACGTAGAGAGAGACACAGCGAGACAGGAGGCAGCTGTAGACTAACAGTGACACTCACGTAGAGAGAGACACAGCGAGACAGGAGGCAGCTGTAGACTAACAGTGACACTCACGTAGAGAGAGACACAGCGAGACAGGAGGCAGCTGTAGACTAACAGTGACACTCACGTAGAGAGAGACACAGCGAGACTGGAGGCAGCTGTAGACTAACAGTGACACTCACGTAGAGAGAGACACAGCGAGACTGGAGACAGCTGTAGACTAACAGTGACACTCACGTAGAGAGAGACACAGCGAGACAGGAGGCAGCTGTAGACTAACAGTGACACTACGTAGAGAGAGACAGCGAGACAGGAGACAGCTGTAGACTAACAGTGACACTACGTAGAGAGAGACAGCGAGACAGGAGACAGCTGTAGACTAACAGTGACACTCACGTAGAGAGAGACACAGCGAGACAGGAGGCAGCTGTAGACTAACAGTGACACTCACGTAGAGAGAGACACAGCGAGACAGGAGACAGCTGTAGACTAACAGTGACACTCACGTAGAGAGAGACACAGCGAGACAGGAGACAGCTGTAGACTAACAGTGACACTCACGTAGAGAGAGACACAGCGAGACAGGAGGCAGCTGTAGACTAACAGTGACACTCACGTAGAGAGAGACACAGCGAGACAGGAGACAGCTGTAGACTAACAGTGACACTACGTAGAGAGAAACACAGCAAGACAGGCAGCTGTAGACTAACAGTGACACTCACGTAGAGAGAGACACAGCGAGACAGGAGACAGCTGTAGACTAACAGTGACACTACGTAGAGAGAGACACAGCGAGACAGGCAGCTGTAGACTAACAGTGACACTACGTAGAGAGAGACACAGCGAGACAGGAGACAGCTGTAGACTAACAGTGACACTCACGTAGAGAGAGACACAGCGAGACAGGAGACAGCTGTAGACTAACAGTGACACTCACGTAGAGAGAGACACAGCGAGACAGGAGACAGCTGTCTCGACGGTCAATGGCATAGTGTATAGCAGATTGTATAATAATAATAAATAGTATAAAATTGTAATGTTTAATACAATATATAAGGCAATATATAGTATCGTAATTGTATAGTGAATATACAGCAGTGTGATATACAGTAGGGTGGATAGAATAATACATAGTGTAATATTACACTATGTATTATTCTAAGGTATAGGGTGGTGTATAGTAATACAGTATATAATTTAACGCTGGGTTTGTCTATGGCAGCACATAGTACGGGGTGAGTGTGAAATGGACTCGAACCTGCACCTCTGCATTGCAAGTGCAGTGAGCTGACGCCCCCCGCGTGTGGAGGGTAAAGTTGTGGGTACACCCACCTCGCTCCAACGGGTTTGGACCAGCGTGGAAGAGTAGACCAAATACCCCACATCGCGGCCTCTAGTGGAGACCATTTCTGCCACGACAACAACTCCGTCCCTCCAGATACAAAAGAACTAAATGTAACTCATCCCATCAGCCACAATCTGGCAGTGCCTCTCCTCATCAGCAGCAGCAGCAGGCCGCGCTCTGCTGGGAGCAGCGCCGTGAACTCAGCAGGCGCCCAGAGCGTAACGGATGTGAGCCAGGCGCCTCCTCTGCCTCCCCTCTCCCCCACCGCCACTGCTGATGTGTCCACACCGTGCAAGGTTCTCACCTTGTTCAGGCTGAGTCGATGTAGAGGAGGACCAGCCAGTGAGCCGCCGCTTCAGCAGCGACGGTGGCCGCGAGCGGGAATCCGAATCAGCCGCTCGCCACCCACAATGCACAGCGCTGCCTCCACTCGCCCCAGCCTCGGCGGGGGGAGGGGCGGGGGAGAGGGGGCGGGGCGAGGGGGAGGGCATGGGGGGGGGCGAGGGGAGAGAGGGGGCGGGGCGAGGGGGGGGGCATGGGGGTGGGCATGGGGGAGGGGCTCAGGGCTCCACGTCTCGGTGGGCGTGGTCACCTGGTACCGCCCCCTCGTCTCGAGCCACGCGCTTCCCCCTGGCAGTTTGTCCGTGAGAGAGGCGGGGAGAAACTGGCCAAGGTGAGGAGTGGATCCTCGCTCTGGGTGGGTGGTGCGGTGGTGTGAGTCTGTGTGTGTGGTGTGAGTCTGTGTTTGTGCGAGTCCGTGTGTGTTTGTATCCGTGTGTGAGTCTGTGTGTGTGTGGAGTGGTTAACGCGCTGTCAACACCAGTGACGATTATATGAACCGGTCCTGGGCCTCCCCTAGGTCGACTCAGCCTCAAATGAGTACCTGGTGTGGTGTGTAAATATCGCCACTCGGAGACAAAGGCGCGGTGTTGGCCACCCACGCCCTCGTGTGCTGTTCCGGCCTTCATAGGTGATGCTGGCTAACAGCACTTGCCCCAACAGTTTATTTCAGCTATAAGGAGGATATTTATATTTGTTGTTCGTGGTGGTGTTGTTGGTGGTGTTGATGGTGGTGGTGTTGATGGTGGTGTTGATGGTGGTGCTATTGGTGTTGTTGGTGGTGGTGCTGTTGGTGTTGTTGGTGGTGCTGGTGACGGTGTTGATGATGGTGATATTCTTGTTGGTGGTGGTACTGGTGTTGTTGGTGGTGATGTTGATGGTGTTAGTGGTGTTGGTGGTGGTGTCTGTGGTGGTTCCAACGATCCATCCTGTGTTTAACCTAGCTGGATTGTGTGAGGAGCTCACAAATCCTTGAAGGATCTGGACACATTCCCACAAGTAAGCTCCTCCGGCAGGCAAGGCTGCGTTGGCTGGGTCTTGTAGCCCGCATACCCAAGCGGTTTCTTTTTGGCCGCATAAAGGGGGCTAAACGGCCACGACATGGGCTGTCGAAAATATGGACTGATGCTGTATGGGAGGATGTTGAGTTGAGTGGACTTGTGAAAGACTGGTACCAGTGGTGTAAATAACATCCTTCACGAGGAAGCTCGTGAAGGAGGCTACTGGACAGTTGGAGGCAGACTGCCTCCAACAACAACTGAGGGCAGAGGAGTGACGCTCACAACGAGTGGCGGATAAAATTCGGTAAGTTGGCACAGTTGTGCATACAGCTGGTGTATCTACCAAGCATCTCAGCCAACCTTTGGAACTTGGGTCTGTCTCGTGACGTCTTGTCAGCGAGCCTTCGACACTTCGTGTGGCCTGAAAGTGCACCTGGCCTGGCAAAGGCGCCGTGGTGACATCATCGCTACTAAGTGGCGAATGTCGGTTGTTGTTTTTGTGTTTCGTGTTGTGAGTGATTGGTGATGATGTGAGTCTGTGTTGATGATGTGGGTTCATGGTGTGAGTCCGCATTGTGACTTGACTCGTGTTGAGATGTGGGTGCCGTCACACCCCCTCGACTCTATGTGATCCTCGGCTTCGTCTCCTGCTTCGCACACAGAGACCTGGACTGCGCGAGAGACGCTGTTAGTTCTGTGCACCCTGCTCTGCAATTGGCCACCATGGAGGTACGTGTGGCTCTACGACTCGTGTGGTGAAGTATTAATGGATGTGTGCTCTCCACTCCGCGTGTGGCTACCTGTCACCTATCCATACACCTAAGTGTGCATCTGCTTGGCTGCCTGAGTGTGTGTGCATCTATCAGAGTATCTCCCCAAGATCCTCTCTGTGTACCTGCCTTTCTACGTTTTAATAATCTACTGTACTTTTATCTATCCACTACTGGATGAAGGCCTCCTTCCTTGAGACCCTGCTACCCCTCACGATCATGCGATGGAATAATCCACCAAGCACCGATTTTGTCGCTCCATCTTTCTAGCAGCCGTCCTCTCAGACGTGTTCCGATACTTGGCTGCACCTCCGTTATTGTTCTTGACCATCAGCCATCGTTGTTCCTCGTGGCCGTGGCATGTCCTGGCCCAGCCCTACTTCTCTTAACAGTTTGAAGGATGCCATTAACCTGCGTGTGTCCTTTAAATACACACGTGTCTCATTGTTAATCCAAGTGTGACATCTGACATTGGCCAAATATCCGAACGCTGAGAACTGACATCTCAGCAGGACCCTCCTAAATGTGGAGCCCAGGATCTCAGAGATCCTGGCTCAGTGCTCGCCGCTTGCACTATCCCCCACATCTTGCTAAAGCCTATGTGGTGGACCTTTGTCTTTGAGTGTGTGTAGATGAGCCAATCTGGAGAGGCGAGGAATGAGGGCGAATTTTGTACCACGTGGAGGGCGCTGTCCTCAGAGGGCACCGCCTCCATCTGCATCAAATCACCGCAAGGTAAGAACAGGAATGAGGGATGTCACAGAGGGCCATGGTAAATGGTGGAACATCACGATGGCCATGTTGCATGGTGGATGTCACAGTGGCCATGATTCATTGAAGATTTCATAGTGGCCATGATGCATGAGTGATATCCAGGTGGCCAAGTTGCATGGGGGACTTTGATTGATAACGGGGCGCAGGAGCTCACTCAGCAGACTCCCTTGCGGCATCGCGGCGATGACTACAGCCTCAAGCTAAACAAGCGCAGAACCTGCAGATCGCTGTGACATGTAAAGATGAAACCGTGGGAGCGCAGCGTGCGTTGTGCGCATTTTCCAAGGAGTAGCCCTCGTTTACAGGAGAACATAACTTCGTGGAATGCACATACAGGAGAACATACGTCCGTGTCACTCGACCACTTCGAGCATGCTGTTTAAGGAACTACCCTCCTCACGGTGAGTATTAATTTATAAAAATGTCAGGATAATTTTTCAACTGGTCTTGTGCACGAGTGGTTTAAGTCAAATCCATTGGTGCTAAACTAGTTTTGCGTTGCCAGACGTGACATGTTGCCTCCACCACGAGCAGCTTCCATTTGGGAAAGATGAGTGCACAGACAGTCCTGGGCTTAAACACGTTTATGGCCAAGTAATGGCAGTGGTGCCTAAACGCGGAACAAAAACACAACATTAATTTATAATACCGGTCCCTCCTTCATAGCGGGGATAGCCTGGTGGGACAGTGGGTTTTTGGATTATTAGATCAGCTGGTCGTGAGTCTGAGCCTAGCTGGCAAGGTTATAGGGTCATTTGGTGGATCAGTATTTTGACAGTAAGTTACCAGGTTAGAGTGTTTATTGGATCAGTAGGTCAGCTGGTGATCCGGTGGATAGGCTCGAAGTCAAATGGGTCGATTGATGGGTCAGAGTTTCACCAAGTCGGTGTATTGTATTGGCCTCGGTGTCTTATAGAGTCAGAGGGTGGGCAAGTCGGGTGTCGGGTTCATATATATTGTTGCGAAAGTATTTTATTGGGTCATAGGATGGGGTGGCGAATTATCGGTCTGTAAGTTATTTGGTCAGTGTGTCAGGATGATGCGTGTTGGGTCATTTACTCGGTGGGGGTACCCGTGGGCTGGCGGTCGGGTGGGGGTCGTTCGTCGGGTTGGTGGTTTGGCCGTTCGGTGACCGCGACGTCATCCGGCCATCCGTGCAAGCGTGGGTGGAGCAGCCCGTCGGCGAGACGGCTCTTCTCCTGCTCGTACCTCTGTACCAGCCGCCTGCCGGAGTTGACTAGAGCCTCGGGCTCGCACTGTCATCTCCTCCTCGTAGCGCTCGCTCGAGCTGCGGAGAGACACCAGTGCCGGCTTCACAAGCGTGGTGGCACCAGCAGTACCCCGAACCGAGCAGAGCCTGGACTCGACACGCACTTGGGCCGACCGGACCAGGCCCCAACTTTAATAAACAAAACAAAACTAGCTTCGACCCTAACTGCACGATTGGTAATCACGCCACGCGATACGCACCTGATAAAAGCGCCGAGTTGCATGCGTGAGAAGTTATTATTTCCAATCGTTCAATATATTTGACATTTAGGCCCATGGTGGTGATTGGTCAATGTGACACCGGTGCGGCAGGTTGGTTTGCGAGCCACCCCTACCACTCGAGACCACAGCTAACAGAGCACACAAAACTTAATAAGTTATTACATTTCATCGTTAAACGGAGAATTGAGAAACAATACGAATGATAACAAGACCATACAAATTATATGATCCGGAATCGAATAGTGGCCTCGCAATGAGAGTAGTTGAGTTGCTGGGAAGGGAGTGGGGTGGAATGCCGGCCCCTTGTGAGCACCACAAGAAGCCGAGGGCAGAATAAGAGCACGATACTGCCGTCGGTAGCATCAGCGCAACAGACTTCACGACCAAGACCACACCTCATAGGCTGTGATCGACTGCGAAGATTTCATAGCAATTGTTGTCAACAATCATCACTGGCAATAGTTTCCACAGAATGTTCCTGTGGTGCAACCGTAGCGGAGAAACTCGGCCGGCGCTGCTCTCTCCTTGCACACCTCCACACTCACATGCACCACCACTAAACACTCACACGCACCCCCACTAAACACGCACACGCACCTCCACTAAACACGCACACGCACCCCCACTAAACACGCACACGCACCCCCACTAAACACTCACATGCACCCCCACTAAACACGCACACGCACCTCCACTAAACACGCACACGCACCCCCACTAAACACGCACACGCACCTCCACTAAACACGCACATGCACCCCCACTAAACACGCACATTAACCTCCACTAAATACGCACATGCACCCCCACTAAACTCTCACATGCACCCCCACTAAACACGCACATGCACCCCCACTAAACACGCACATGCACCCCCACTAAACACGCACATGCACCCCCACTAAACACGCACATGCACCCCCACTAAACACGCACATGCACCCCCACTAAACACGCACATGCACCCCCACTAAACACGCACCCCCACTAAACACGCACACGCACCTCAACTAAACACGCACACGCACCCCCACTAAACACGCACATTAACCTCCACTAAATACGCACATGCACCCCCACTAAACACGCACATGCACCCCCACTAAACACGCACATGCACCCCCACTAAACACGCACATGCACCCCCACTAAACACGCACATGCACCCCCACTAAACACGCACATGCACCCCCACTAAACACGCACATGCACCCCCACTAAACACGCACATGCACCCCCACTAAACACGCACATGCACCCCCACTAAACACGCACATGCACCCCCACTAAACACGCACATGCACCCCCACTAAACACGCACATTAACCCCCACTAAACACGCACATGCACCCCCACTAAACACTCACATGCACCCCCACTAAACACGCACATGCACCCCCACTAAACACGCACATGCACCCCCACTAAACACGCACATGCACCCCCACTAAACACGCACATGCACCCCCACTAAACACTCACATGCGCCCCCACTAAACACGCACATGCACCCCCACTAAACACTCACATGCACCCCCATTAAACACTCACCCCCACTAAACACTCACATGCACCCCCACTAAACACTCACATGCACCCCCACTAAACACACATGCACCCCCACTAAACATACGCATGCACCCCCACTAAACACACGCACGTACCCCCACTAAACACTCACATGCACCCCCACTAAACACACACACACCCCCAATAAACACTCACATGCACCCCCAATAAACACTCACATGCACCCCCACTAAACACTCACATGGAACCTCCACTAAACACTCACATGCACCTCCACTAAACACTCACATGGAACCTCCACTAAACACACACACGCCACCCCCACTAAACACTCGCATGCACCCCCACTAAACACACATGCACCCCCACTAAACACTCACATGCACCCCCACTAAACACACGCACCCCCACTAAACACTCACACGCACCCCCACTAAACACTCACATGCACCCCCACTAAACACTCACATGCACCCCCACTAAACACGCACATGCACCCCCACTAAACACACGCACACCTCCACTAAACACTCACGCACACCTCCACTAAACACTCACATGCACCCCCACTAAACACTCACATGCACCCCCACTAAACACTCACATGCACCCCACTAAACACACGCACACGTTTATTTCAGAATCCGAAAAAGTTCATTCCCCGAGTGAACTCCATTGAGCTGAGACCCGAAGAATTCCACAATCACACTCACTCATCCACAAAGACAAAGACCCCCCCCCCCGTATAGCCTTAACAGACTGTTGGGGCAAGTGTTGTTAGCGAGCACCTCTGAAGGCCAGCACGGCACACGAGGGGGTGGGTGGTCAGCACCACGCCCGGCCGGGGGTGGGGGACGTTGCGTGAGTGCGCAAAGTCATTAATTAGATCCCGACAGCTGTGAGCGGAGATTGAAAGTGTTACGTGATCGGCGCGGTTCGCGAGTGCAGGCGGGCTTGTTGTGGGGGGCACGCGTGTTGTGGGGGGCGCACGTGTTGTGGGGGGCACGCGTGTAGTGGGGGGCGCGCGTGTTGTGGGGGGCACGCGTGTTGTGGGGGGCGCACGTGTTGTGGGGGGCGTGTGTTGTGGGGGGCGCACGTGTTATGGGGGGCGCATGCACAATAACCCCCTAGGCGGTGTCTGACAGGCGCCGATCGGGGGGGGCGGTCCCCCCCCGATCGGCGGGGGCCCGGGGGGCCCAGCGAGACGCGGCCGAGGAGGGGGCCGGGTGGAGGGGGCGGACTTCGCGCCCCGCCCGCTCGGGTGGTGGTGGCGGGGTTAACGACATATTTAGATGTTTACGCGATCTATCCCAAAAGGCCTGTATCATGGACGACATTGGTCGCGAAAGCATTAAACTCTCAAGACATTCGCCCTCTCACGACCCGGCTCTCGTTATCTCGGTCTGACGTCATCGGCGCCCAACGCCAGTGAGGAGGTGTCCACCGCTCGTGACGCATTGTAACCACGTGCCTTCGGGCTGAGTCGATGTAGAGGAGGACCAGCCAGCGAGCCGCCGCTTCAGCAGCGACGGTGGCCGCGAGCGGGAATCCGAATCAGCCGCTCGCCACCCACAATGCACAGCGCTGCCTCCACTCGCCCCAGCCTCGGCGGGGGGAGGGGGAGAGGGGGCGGGGCCAGGGGTGGGCATGGGGGGGGCTCAGGGCTCCACGTCTCGGTGGGCGTGGTCACCTGGTACCACCCCTTCGTCTCGAGCCACGCGCTTCCCCCTGGCAGTTGGTCCGTTAGAGGCGGGGAGAAACTCTGGCGAAGATGAGGAGTGGATCCTCGCTGTGGGTGGGTGGTGCGGTGGTGCGAGTCTGTGTGTGTGGTGTGAGTCTGTGTTTGTGTGAGTCCGTGTGTGTTTGCATCCGTGTGTGAGTCTGTGTGTGTGTGGAGTGGTTAACGCGCTGCGCTATGAACCCGGTGACCCAGAATTGGA